AATATAAATTACGTGAGATTTAAATCTTGAAACTAATATACCGAAAAAACTCACACAAATCATTATATTAAATATTTACACAAAATTTATGAATTAATAAAAAGTTGAATAATGCGATAATATATGATATTTTCACAAATAAATCATCATATACGTATTCAAAATACTTATATTAGCACATAAATAATTTTATCTATGCTAGATATTTTGAATTTTATTTTAAATAGATCATTTAAATCACTTAAAAGTAATTCAAAAAGAAAAGAATATGAATTTCTTTAATATATTAGGTTTTTTCTTTATTAACTATATATTCCTGTTACGTTAAAAAAAAAAACAATTTAAACTTGTCGCCAAGATTTTTTTTTGTTTATTGTGTTCGAGTATTTTGATTTTCTTTTTAGGAGAAAGAAATGTTTTAAAAAATTAATTAATCAAAAACAAACAAAAAAAGTAATCCTACAGCCATTGAAAAGTCTCTTTATCGTGACTTTTAAAAAAAGAGAAGTTCTAAGAGTAAAAAAAACAAAGTGGACAGTTAAGGCTGTGAAAAAAAAAGGATTTAAAGTCTAATTGGCAATAATTTGACTGTTAATACTTTAAAATATGGTAAAGTCTTTACAGCCTCAATATCAATCACGCCCTTACCGTTGATAAAAAAAAGAAAAAGATAAAACTGATTTTATGATGAGTTAATTTGCTAAGTAACCAAAAAAAAATTAATAATTAAGCAATTAACAAAAATTGACTAATGTGGCTAAATGATAATCATAAAATTTAGGATATTTGATTAGATTTTTAATTATAATTTATTTAGGGTATTTAATTAGATTTTTAATTATAATTTATTTTGGAGTTTTATTTGCTAATTTCCCTTGATTTGATAGAGAGTGCAGTTGTAGCCGCACTAGCCTATAGCGTGTAAAAGAAAAATTAATAAGTACTGGAGACTGTAACCAGCTCTAAATAGTGTGTCCAAGAAAATTTAATAAGTACTGGAAACAATAGCCAGCTCTAAATAGTAAAATCCTCATTTGTTATAGCGGGCATTTTTAGCTGCACTAGCCTATAGTCTGTACACGAGAAGAATAATTAGTACTGGAAACTGTAAGCAGCTCTAAATAGGAAATTCTTCTAGCTAAGATATTAGTTATTGGAATTTTAGAAAAAATGATTTGGTCAAAGTGTATAGGCTTGTGGAGATATAGAATATTTACAAAGTCTTCGACGAAAACAAAAAAGTACGTATATTAACAGTCATTCTCGACTATACGAAATAAATGATAATACTCTCAAACGTGTCATGTGTATTTACCCCAAAGTTTTAAAATATATTTTATTTTAATAGAAATAATAAACAAATGCATTTTTTTTTGTCAAACACAAATGCATATTTAAATTGCAATAATAATTGATTGAAACTCCTTTGCTCTTTGGTTGCCTATTGGATAATAAATATTTATCCTACAATAAAATTTTCTAAAGATACGCTATA